TGAGATTAGCAGCCTGATTCATAACCAGTACGCTACCAGAGGTCCTTAGATAAGTATATATTGTTGTTGTTAAGTACCATGGAGTCAGTTCTGACTCATAGTGACCCTGCACAGAGTTTCCGAAGCAATCAATGGCACCAAATAAAATGTTATGAAATGTGGAATGGAAAACCACACTTCAGAAAATCTTTATGGGAGCAGAATACCTCATCTTTCTCCCAAGGAACTGCTGGTAGTTTCAAACTGCTGACCTTAAGGTTGGCAGCCCGACTCGTAACCACTACGCCACCAGAGCTCCTTTGATAGATATATGTTGTTGTTGTTGTTGTAAAGTGCCATCGAGTTGGTTCCGACCCATAGCAACCCTCTACAGGGTTTCTGAGGAGCAGCTGGTGACCTTGAACCGCCGACCTTGCAGTTCAAACGGCTTTGCAGTCTGACGCATTAACCCACAGCGCCACACCATATAGGAGGGATGGTAGTGTAGTGGTTACGAATCGGGCTGCGAACAAGGTCAGCAGTTCGAAACTACAGCGGTTCCACGGGAGAAAGATGAGGCTATCTGCTCCCATAAAGATTTACAAACTCGGAAATCATTGTTCAGGGTTGCTATGGGTCGGAACCGACTCGACGGCGCTTAACAACAACAAAACACTAATTAAGTTATGCTCACCATGGAATGATCAAATCATTCAAAATCAAAGGACAACATTTACCTGAGGGATGGGAAGGAGAGGAGAATGTCTCAGGAACCAGGGGAGGAAAAGGGATAACTTGTTGCATTGTAGTCATTGAGATGAAACAAAGTATATGATTTGTTAAATGTAAAACTGACGATCTTGTCTGTAAACCTTCACTCAATTCACAATTAAAAGCTTAAAAACAAACCAAAAATACTACAGGCTTACTGGTCAGATTGAGACTGGTGGAACCCCAAAAATTCTGGCCCTAAGTCACTCTTTAAGCTTAGAACTGAACTCACTCCATGGCGAAACTTTCCGTCAAAAAATACACAGGCCTATAAGGTGAAGAACAAGGAGCCACAGTGGGTTACCAGTTGGGTTGCTAACTGCAAGGTAAGTGGTTTGAATCTACAAGTTGCTCCACAGGAGAAACAAGGTTTTCTGCTCCCATAAAGATTTATAGCCTCGGAAATTCTACATAGGATCACTATGAGTAGAAACCAACTCGACGGCACACAACTACCATCACTACATAAGATCAACAATACCAGGGAGGTATGTCATCAATCATATAAGATCAGAAGGGCGGCATTTGCCCAGGGGTAGGGCTCAGAAGGCAAGAAGGGCAAATGGAAATGGGAAACCCCGAGAGGAAGTGGGTACAGTGCTGCACATTGTGGAGTCGCAATCAATGGCACCAGATAAAATGTTATGAAGTGTGGAATGGAAAACCACGCTGCTCTGTAAACTTTCACCCAAATCGCCATAAGAAAACTTCAAAATAGTTTTTCTCATGTTGTCAAAATTGAGAAGAGCTCTGAGTCCCAATGAAGGTTTTATTCCTCTCTGCTCTTCCCATCATCCTTTCCTCCTCCTCATCTCCACATTTCAGGAATGCATCAGAAATGCCGCCGCTGATGGCTAGCAGCAAGAGATCTCAAAATGTTCTGGAAGCTTCTCAGCAACATGCCCTGCCAGAAACCTTCGAGACAAGGTGATATAGTCAGAGTCATGGTTCTTTCCCCATATTAAGAGGATAAGCACTAGACTGTGAACCACCAGATTGGCAGTTTGAACCCACCAACCACTCCACAGGAAAAAGATGAGGCTTTCTGCTCCTGCAAAGATTTACAGCCTTGGAAACCTTTTCGTCTGAACCAAGTCAACAGTACTTACCATGGAGTCCTGGTGTAGCTCTGTAAAATAAGCATTGGTCTGTTAACCACAAGATCATTGGTTCAAACCCACCAGCCACTCCTTGCCACCCTATACAGGGTCACTATGAGTTGGAACTGACTTGATGGCACTTAACAACAATGAAATGACTGCCTTCCCTTTCCCTCTTGTGAGTGGTTTGCATCCATCTCTGTGGAAGAAGTGTTAACAGTATCGCCCAGCACAGAGTGACATGAGTTTGAGGCCACCCTCGTTGCCCCATCTTCTTCTGGCTCTATCCCTTTCTTATCCAACTCTCTGAGCTGGCTGCTGTCACCTACCCCTCCTAAACTATCGGCCTGACCTTGGGCTGTCAGCCTGGCCTGTCTACCCTTCCCTTTACTAACAATAGCAACAAAAGGAATAACAGGTCCTAGGGGAGACAAGAGGGAAGGGCTTATCTTGGGGAGAAGGCCACCAAGAAAAACCTTTGTGAGACAAAGAACTAAGACTGGCCTTTTCTGTCTCATTTCTAAAAAGAGCTCAAGCTACTCAGGTGCAAACAGGGCAACACCGCCCCTGGGAAACTCGAGGAAGGGAAAAGACATGATGTAGTCATACATATTCATTGACTGGGTCCATCATACCTAGGCATTAGGGCTCCAGTCATGCAGTCATTGAAGTTCCAATGACTAGGGGACTCAGGACCTTGGAACACTTTCTTTGGGACTTTCTGGATCTGTGATAAAAGGGGGTCTGGTAGCGTAGTGGTTACAAGTTGGGCTGCTAACCTCAGCTCAAAACTACCAGTTATTCTGAGGGAGAAAGATGAGACTCTCTGCTCTTGTAAAGATTTATAGCATCAGAAACTCATAACAAGGTTGCTATAAGTCAGAACCAACTCCATGGCACACCACCACCACCACCAAAGATCTGTGATAACACCCATGTTTGGGTGAAGAGTAGCATGTCCCCAGCGACAGTGGAAGTCTTATGGTGCCAGAATCTCCCCCAGACCTTGCTGGGACCTTTCCCAGACCACTACACTTGTATTCTTTCTGATTATAATAAATGAGTAACTTTCTGTAACTAGAGAATTAATGAAACCACAGGGACAGTGAGCCAGCTGGGGCTGGCAGAACAGAGCCGTTTTGTGCAAATCCAGCTCCTAGTGCTCAGGCAGTCAGTGAAGGAAAGAGTCCATCTAGTTCGTGACCTAGTCCTAGGGGACTAGCGATGGGGAGGCCAGCTGGTCTGAAGTACAAGGGGTTGTACAGACTCCTGACCTGGCACTGGTCCCCGATGATCTGGCCCCTGTGTGGCTTAGATTGGTTGGGGACAAGGTTTGATCTAAATCTGGGTGGCAGGGTCAGAGAGAAGTGTTATGGGGAACAGCTGGTGATGAGGTATGGAGCTGTGGGAAGGCCAGGTCTAGCACCACGTACAGCTGGGAATTACAGTCATGCTGATCTTTGCCCACCTTGCAGTTTATAGTGCTGCAGCCTCTCAGAAGAGAGAACTTGATAAAAGAAAAATGCTTGAGAATAAGTAGAAAGTTGCTAGAAAAAGGGGAGTGTGGAAAAGACAACACAGAGGGCACAGCCAGTGAAAGGCAGGGTGGATTGTGAGAGTGCTGGGCAGCTCCAGAGAACAGGAGTCTGATGGGAAAAGAAGACTTTGTTCTTTTGGCAACAAACTCCTGCCCTGACTCCTCTCTCCAAAGGCGGCCCGAACCCTTCTCTGGAAGGCTCTCCATACACTCACCACTCGGACAGGCAGTCTGACCAGGTCAGCCCGGCAACGGATTTTGAGTGGGAAGAGACGAGGGTTCTCTGGGAGGATGGGCCCCTCCACCAGGACCACATCATCCTCCTGGCTCTGGTGGTCTTGGCCCTGGTGCTGCTTGGGGCTCAAACAGGAGCGGAGCTCTTGGAGGCGCTTGTTCACCTCCCTGAAGTGCAGAGAGAAGTTGGGGTCAGTCACCCTCCCAGACTGTCCCTCTACCCTAGCCACAGCCCTCGACCCTCTCACCTTAACTTCTGCAGTGCCCTCGTATGCTTTCTGCTTTTGGTCCTTGGTGGAGGTGGGGGCAAAGGAGATACATCCTGGACCCTGCAGAGAGGACAGAGGTAGGATGGAGGCAGCAGAGAGCTCAGCCTCACACCATCCATCAAGGGGCACGGGCTCCCCAGAGCCAGAGGGAGAACTGGGGCACTTCTGGTAGAATCTGTTCTACTGGGAGGCAGGAGTAGGTGGAAGACCAAGAAGGCACATTTATCATTTTTATATTTACATGGCCTAAATATTAGGGAAGGAAAGGCCAAAATTTTAAGGTGAGTTACTTCCCAGGTTAACATTCAACAGACACAGAGCAGGTACTATGCGTTAAACATTAACTATCAGCAATTCTAAAAATCCCTATTTCATATCAGAGGAGAGTGAAGCCCGAGAGCAAAACTAAGAGTCAGCTGGCAGGTCTAGGACCACACAGGCTGTCCCCAGAATCACAGTTAGCCCCGACATGCAGATGAAACACTCCTCTCCATGGGTGATCTTGAAGGGTTCCTTGTCATTCTCTGGGGTGGGTCACCTCCTATCCCAAGAGCCTCATTCCCAATCTGAGCCTCAAGACACTATATCCCATCCCCTCTCCTTTCCCTTCTAGCACCCATCCAAGGGCCCTACCCAGTCCAGCCTTCCCCTCCAACCGTCTTCCTGCTCCTAAGGCCCAAGTGCCCCTGCTTCACTTACAAAAACACCTTTTTCTCCTCCTCTTCTTCATCCTGACCCCTCAGCTTCTTCTTCCAGGAGCCTGGAAAAGGGGGCTCCTCAGGTTGAGAGCTGCTAGAGTCTGCCATGTCTGCATCTGGGGACAGGGGGAATGAGAGTAGGAAGAGGATTGCAGGAGGTCAAGGGTAAACTAACAGAGGCTCCAAGGTCTGCATTAGGGTCCATTAATTTTTTTTTACCTTTTTGTTGGCAATTTAATGATTTGCAGAGCATATCATCAGTTTTACATTGAGCACATATTACACTTCATGATTTCAAATCTCTTAATGTAACATCAGAGTCCTGGTGTGGTGCTGTGAGTTAATGCGCCAGACTGTAAAGCCGTTTGAACTGCAAGGTCGGCAGTTCAATCTCACCAGCTGCTCCTCGGAAACCCAATATAGGGTTGCTATGGGTCAGAATCGAATTGACAGCACTTAACAACAACAACAATGTAATTGTAATCACTTGTTCCACTTTCTCCCTGTGATTCTTGTTTCCATTCTATCTTCTTTCCCAACCCTTCTGAATTTTGCCCTTTTGATTTTGAATGGTTGACCATTCCATGGTAAGCATACATGTCTAGTGGTGTTGTCCCCCCTATATATCTATCTACTGCTTGGCTGAAATTTAGAGCTACAAGGGTGAGTTCAGTTCCAGGCGGAAAGGGTGAACAAGGGCCATACTCTCAGGTTCCTCCAGTCTCTTTCTGACCAGTAAGCCAGGTCATTTTTTATAATTTTGAGTTGTGTTCCACATTTTTTCTCACTTGATCCTGGGCCTCCTAATGTGATCCCTTTCAGAGTAGTTGGTAGTGGTAGGGACACAATCTAGTTCTTCTGGTCTCAGGATCATGGAGACTTATGTTCACGTGTTTGATGAGTCCGCTGGACTAACTGATTCCAAGAAGCTTCAGTTTACATCACTCTTCCTTCCTCTGCACATGAGAGACCAATAATTGTAACTTAGAAGGCCACTTATGAGTTGTTGAAGATCCTAGTCACTATTCATCAAAGTAGGATGTAGAACATTGTTTGTGTATTGTTATGCCAATTCACCATGGTGTCCCCTGAGACTATGGTCCTGAACCCCCAGGCCTAGCAACTTATTTCCTCAAAGTGTTTGGTAATATCTAAGAAAATTTCATAATTTTGCCCACTGTATACTCTACCACATTCATAGATAGGTTTGCAGCAAAGGTAAATTCCCATGTACAAATATTCCTTGTCAAATGTATATATATTTATGGGTACACTCCCACTCTCCCTCCCAAACCTGTTCAGCCTACGTATTTAGCCCCTAGGTCACTTATTGCAGGACTGCATATTTAACAGCATTTACCTCTATGCCCATTAAATCTTGCATTCCTCCCTGTCTTCCCCCACTTTCTTCTGCCAACGTCCCTCTTGTTGTATATTGCTTTCCCTATTACCCAAGTTAACATGTATCCACTCTCTAGCCAGAGACTTATTACCCCTTCCCTCTCATCCTTGATCAACTGATTTTTGACAAGGATGCTTTGTTAGATATCTAGCGCTGCTATAATAGAAATACCACAAGTTGATGCCTTAAACAAAAATTTATTTTCTCACAATTTAGGAGGCTTGTTGTTATTGTTGTTAGGTGTTTCTGAGTTGGTTCCGACTTATAGTGACCCCATACACAACAGAATAAAACACTGCCCAGTCCTGTGCCATCCTCACAATTACCACTGTGCCAATCCATCTTGTTGGGGATCTTCCTCTTTTCCACTGAGCCTCCACTTTACCAAGCATGATGTCCTTTTCCAGGGACTTGGTCCCTCCAAGTATGTCCAAAGTATGAGATATGAAGTCTGCCCATTTTGGTTTCTATGAAGTATTCTGGCTGTACTTCTTCTAATACAGATGTTTGTTCTTCTGGCAGTCCATGTACTTTTAATATTCTTCTCCAACATCGTGACTCAGATGCACCAATTCTTCTATGATCTTCCTTATTCAGTGCCCAACTTTCACATACATATGAGGTTACTGATAATATCAAGGCTTGGATCAGGCACACCTTAGTCTTCTTGAACACTTTGAAGATATCTTGTGTAACAGATGTACCTAATGCAATATATGGCTTAATTTCTTGACTGCTGTTTCCATGAGTGTTTATAGTGGATCCAAGCAAAATGAAGTCTTTGAAAACTTCAATCTTTTTTGCATTTTTCATATTAGTTATTGGTCTAGTAGTAAGGATTTTTGTTTTCTTTACATTGAGGTGCAATCCATACTGAAGGCTGTGGGGTTTGCTCTTTATCAGTAAGTATTTTAAGTCCTCTCTGCTTTAAGCAAGCAAGGTTGTATTATCTGCACATAGCAAGTTGTTAATGAGTCTTCCTCTGATCCTGATGGCACGTTTTTCTTCATATAATCTAGCTTCTTGGATTATTTGCTCAACATACAGATTGAGTTTAAGTATGGTGAAAGAATATAACCCTGACACACACCTTTCCTGATTTTGAACCATTTACTATCCCCTTGATCTATATGAATGACTGTCTCTTGGTCTATGTACAGGTTTCTCATGAGTACAATCAAGTGTTCTGGAATTCCCAGTCTTAGCAATGTTATCCTCAGTCAATTACCTTTGCATAGTCAATAAAGCACAAGTAAAACATCTTTCTGGTTTCTTTGCTTTTAGCCAAGATCCATCTGATATCAGCAATGATATTTCTAGTTCCATATCCTCTTCTGAATCCGGCCTGAATATCTGACAGCTCCCTGTTGATGTACTGCTGCAACTGTTCTTGCATTATCCAGCAACTATTTACTTGCATGTTAATATTCCTAATACTGTTCAAGATTTCCACCTTCTGTTGGGCCGCTTTTCTATGGAATGGGTACAAATAATGAATCTCTTTCTAATTTCTTGTCATAAACAAGTGAGTGTCTCCAGCACTGCATCAGCTTATTGCAACATTTCAAGAAGTCCTGGTGTGGTGCTGTGGGTTAATGCACTGAACTGCAAAGTCAGTTTGAACCATAAGGTCAGTGGTTCAAACTCACCACCTGCTCCTCAGAAACCCTACACAGGGTCGCTGTGGGTCAGAACTGACTCGGAAGCACTTAACAACAACTATCTCTGAAGCCTTGTTTTTCATCAATACCTTCATTGCAACCTAGACTTCTTTCTTCAATACCATTGGTTCTTAATCATATGGTAATTGTTGATATGATACAGTGACTCCATGTATTCCTTCCATCTTCTTTTGATGCTTCTTAAATCATTTAATATTTTGCCCATAAAATCTCTCAATATTGCAAATTAAGGATTGATTTTTTTTTTCTTGAATAGTTGGAAAATATGACCTTCCTGATAAAAACAATGCTGGAAATCACATGATAGAATTTTTCAAGACCAATGACTTGTAAGTACCTTTTTCCAACAATATAAATGGCAGCTATACACATGGACCTCATCAAAAGGAATAAATAAAAATTACATCTGTGGAAAAAGAAGATCGAGAAGCTCAATATCATCAGCCAAAACGAGGCCAGGGGCCAATTGTGGAAAAGACCATCAATTGTTTATATGCAAGTTCAGGTTGAAGCTGAAGAAAAAATTTAAAAGTCCACAAGAACCAAAATATGACTTTGATTATGTCACACCTTAATTTAGAGACTATCTTAAGAACAGACTTTGTGCATTAGACTGAAGACCAGAATATATCAAGTACATCATCCATGAAGAAGCAAAAGGTCATTAAAAAGACAGGATTCTCAGAGCTCAACTAGAAGAAGAAGAAAAAAAAGAGTAATCTGATACAATTTGATGAACTTGACCTACACCTATGGATGCAGTAACTCAAAAGAGGGAACGAATCTTTACAGTAAGGATCATTCCCACCCCCTCGGTACACAGGGTAGACAGGGATAGGCAACTTGGACATTGGCTACCCAAAATGGATTTTTTTTTTTGGGGGGGGGGGTGCTACAAAGGCAAGATGTGACTGGCTTACAAGCTCTCAAGAGGGAACCTAGATTCAGAGGGCATGGAGCAAGGTAGAATCTTCACTGAGTAGTATCCATTCTGCCTAGTCAGGGCTGATAAAAGGAGATACAGATAGGTCCCTTGCGATACAATAGCGAATAGTTGTTATCAGGACTGATTGTAAGGGCTGGAAATGTAAAGGTGGATGTTTTGAGGCAAAGGGAGGGGAGTGATTAACCTTACAGTCTAAGAACGGAGGTCCCTGGGACCATCAAAGGAGAAGAGCAAAGAATGGAACCCTACCCAGAGAAGCAGTGACAGTAGGGATGGAGGCAGAGACGATGACTTGGGGAGATGGAGCAGCTAGAGACTTTGGACCTGGAGAGAGAGAGGGGTGGTGTGCGGACGACAGGGGACAGGCTTGTGGGGTAAACCCTTTGGTTGTTCAATGATGCATGGAAGGGACAGTAACCATGGCAAGGAAACAATATCCGAAGGGATCAATGTGAAGCTGATGTCCTCCCATGTAAACTATCACATAATTCACAATAAACCATTTAAATAAAAATAAAAAAAGATGTATTGATAATTACTGGTAATTTAAATGCAAATGTTGGAAACAAAGAGGATCAGTAGTTAGAAAATATGGTCTTAGTGATACAAATGATGCTAGATATCACATCATAAAATTCTGCAAGATCAAAATTCTTCACTGCAAATTACTCTTTAAGACAACTATACACATGGACCTCACCAGATGGAGTATACAGAAATCAAATTGACTACATTGTGGAAAGAAACCGTGGAAAACATCCGTATCACCAAGTCAGAAGCAGACTGGGACAGATCATTAAATGCTCATATGCAAATTCAGACTGAAGCTAAAGATAATTAAAACATATCTACGAGAGTCACATTTTTATCTTAAATATATCCCACCTGAATTTTGGGTTTTTCTGAATAACAGATATGATACATTAGATACTAATGACTGAAAACCAGAAGAGTTGTGCAATGACATCAAGAACACCATGCAGGAGGAAAGCAAAAGGTCATTAAAAGGACAAGAAAGAAGGAAAAGACCAAAATGGGTGTCAGAAGAAAACTATGAAACTTGCTCTCCAGCACAGAGATGCTAAA